TTGGTGAGAAACTGAAAGCCATTGAACTTCTGGTCCTTTTAGCTTCTGCAGAAGCTTATGGAGAAATTGCTTTCCTTGCATATTATGAATAGTAAACCATCTTCACCACCTTGCCTGGTCTCAGGAAGTCCTTTAATGTAGTAATACCTGACTTTCAGATGTAAACGCTGTCAACTGATCCCATTAGTGATTCCTTTCCTCTATTTTCTACTTTTTTTTAATATTTATTTTTTTAGGTTTAGATGGACCCAACACAATGCTTTATTTTTATGTGGGGGCTGAGGATCGAACCCAGGTCCCACGTGTGCTAGGTGAGTACTCTGCCTCTGAGCCATAATCTCAGCCCCAACTTTTGAGACTACTGTTATTACTTAGTGTTCCATCTTCTGTATCAATTTTCTGTTTTTTTCTCTTATTTTCATTTCTTTCTGATTATATATTGCTTGTTGGACTATTTCCTCACTCTGATCATCAAGCCCTTCTTTTGGATTTCTTACCATATTTTCAATTAGCAGGAATAAATTTTACTTTGTTGAGTGAATATCTCTGCACAGCATATTTTTATTTCCGCACATATCCTCTCTAATACATCTTGAAATTGGCTTCCTGAGGTCAGTTCTCTTTCCCACCTTCTGTGTGCATCTTTCCCTTGCTTGGCTTTGCTGTTTGCTGTGCTGTTTGGGGCCAGTTGTATGAGCACAAGTGCCTCACACATCGCTGGCCCTTGCTTGCTTCCCTGCTCTCACATGCCAGGGAGCCTCCTTCAAAGTTGTGAGGAACAGCAAGACCTTTCCACAGACAGCTACATGGTATGTGTCAAGTGTGGATTCCCCCTTGATGTTGAAAATTTAAGAATACTGCTATCTGGGCTGTCCTACCTGAAGGCCTTAGTCAGCCATCTCCAGTCTGCTCTCTGAGGCTCTAGCTTTGGCTGTCCATAGAGCTGTCACACTGAGGGGTGAACCAGTTTCCAACTCAGGACCTCAGGACAGCACTCCTCTGCTGGTGGCTCTTCACCATGGCCATGTCTGGGTCACACAGTGAAGAGACCTCCTGCTAAAACTCCCAAGGA